CACCTGATTTTACATGTGTAGGGGACATTCCTTTAAAATTCTAGTATCCCAACTTTTCACGTTCCCAAATTAACAGTTTACCTGCAAAAAATTTTCACGAGCAAAACCATGCGCACCTGCGAACTAGGTCTGAACTCATTAAGTTCTACGTGGACGAGGAGCATCCTCTTAAAATTCCAGCTTTCCAGCCTTTCAGTTTCCTAAGTTAGCAACTAAATCGCAAAAAAATTTTCACAGGTTCGTACGTAGGAATCACACCAGCAAGAGCATTCGTTTTGGGGATGGGGGTCTGTACATGTATATAGATTAAGTCATCAAAGATTCATCCTTGTAGTTTTTGTAGATCTCGAGATAAAAACTGGTACAGAGAAACACAGAAACACAATCCCTCGACAATATGCATTTCTGCATTGCATAGATGCAAAAGATGCATAAAAATAATATTCCTAATATATAAGAAAAGAAAAAAAACCATCTCTGACAGTGGACCTACTGGGCAATTCTTTTGAAGCTGACACGCACACCAGGGTCTTTGTAACGAATTCATTTATCTAATAACCATTAATTATCATATAGGTGAGATTAAAATGATTACTCAGAAAGACAGTAAACCAGAAACGACCTTTACCTGGAATTCCACTGCGAATGATGTAGTTAATGGTGATAAATTTTCAACTGACTCCACGTCTTTGCAGATGATTAACATCGCTGACTGAAATACTTTTTGCGCATCAGCCGATACCAGATGTTCACGATGGCACCCTGCAGTTACAAGAATATTTTCTCTAAAACCCGCATTTTATATGCTCTCTCACTTCGATAATTTGTTCTGCGACCGCTTACTTACCTTAACACCAGGCGATGCTTCGAAAATAAATCGAAAAGGAAGTCTTAGTTTAATAAATATTCAGTGCTACAACAGTCTGATTAGCATGGGGTAGGCGCAATTGAAAGCCTGAGAAAATTTCCAAAAATTACATCAACTGCATCAAATATTTGTTACTAAATGGGCCAGTCTGGAGCGCTGGTGAACCAAGAATACCACCTTTTCCCCCGCCCTGGCAACCGTATTCTAGATTACGATTTTTCGGTACTACAGACATAAGACTCGAAAACTTCCTCAAGAAACCAGACACATGAGTTTTTTACAAAGGACCTTTGCCTCTCATTCAACCATTACACGTTCAGCCAAACAGTATATTAAAAAACACAGACGCAAATACCGCAAAAAAAGTACCAGCTCTCGCCGTGTTCCCTTTTAGAACACCGAAAAAAAATCCGATTCGTCAAAAATTTTTTGTTTAGTTGTTTAGAAATTATAAATCGCTATAATCAATTTAATGCTACACTTACGCAGTCTGGCGAGGTTGCTCAGTGATGTTACTGCAAACGCACAAATTTCAAGATGTGCAGGTGCAACGAATCGTTGCTGAAAATGCTCATCGAAGACACGCAACAGCACTGAGAAAATGCTTTGTGACTCCAGCAACGACATGATGGCACGATTTCCTGCAAAATACACCCCCAATTGTTGAACTGCTGCTTGCCTCTTCAGGCCTAATATTTACCGTGATGCATAGTCATAGCTGTTTTAAGCACTTTCGTCCATATTCAAATGTAACAATACGGACGAAGGGGCCTAAAATAGCTATGAAAGCTTATAAGACAGCGAATGAGTCGTGCTTCCCACGGGAAATACTGTTCTGGTGTGTTATGTGTTTCTAAGTCGATTGAACACCCTCGCTGTCTATCCATTACCGTTCTTACACCACAATGAAGACAATCGAGCCTTATATCCTTTGAATAAATCAAATAAAACAGCCAAAACACTGACAGCTAATTTGCTTGCATAACAACTACTTTCTCCAGCAGTGCTTGATTCTAGCTTACTATTTGTCTAGAAATTATCAGATAAGTCAGTTACTGTTGTGATTATGCTGTTATTGATACTTGAACTACTTAGGCCAATTATGTTCCATAGTCTGGTTCGTCAAATATGCAGTTTTCCAGTTGGTTACTCGATGATATGTAGCCCAGCAACTAGCCCACTGACAATCTGACGTCCGTTTCTTCTGACGAGATTTCTGGATTTAGTCCGCTCGAAAAAAGCAAAGCCTTAGCCGTGTCCAGATGCCTTTGATGCTTGTTGGAAATCACCATCTCACCCCAGTTTTGCTATCCCTCAATCTTCACGAAGAACCTTAACGAATAGAATTAGTATAGTATTCCGATACTTATTTCGACACTTTATCATCTATTGTTTCTGATCACATTTCACGCCATCAGTACAACTGGCAATTTCTCCATCCTTCTCTACTTCGCATGTATCTCATCCGCATAGTTCAGCTGAGCAGTGTGAACAAATCTCTCCATCGCACTGGTGATTTTCTTGTGTTTTTCTGACACTGTGTTGGTACCATTCAATAATCTGTTTTGTCCATGCGTTTTTTCGCATTCCTGCCAGTAGTCTAAGACACTAATAACTCTGTATCCATTCGTTTGCTAACGAATATGCATATGAGCACTCATAACTATCATAACTAGCGTTCTGCTGTGCTGATTATTTGCTGAAATATTCGGTGACATCCTTAATGGCCCCTAAAGATAATGGATTCTCTGTCGCAGGGGATACGTAAAATCGCTCCTTTCCTCATTATAATTCTATATATTAATAAGAATTTGCCAGCAAAATATCATTTGTTCTAACAGAGAATCAGTATCACATGTTTTCTCCATTGTTAAGGAATCCACAGCTTTTTCTTCCTCGAAAGAATTGCGATTATATTTTTCGAAAACCAATGTTTTTAAATTTGTAAACAGTAAGAACTCACTAAATTTGATAATGAAGAAGAGCATTTCCATGAGGCGTGCTACCACTGAAGCATCCATCGCTCCATCTACAATCGCTGCTAATATTCCGGTGACAAATTTCTCACTTTTGCCGAACATTCGAGCATTTCGAGCTGTAATTTATCAAATTCATGCATAAAAAACTTCCGTAATGTTTCTTTTTTTTTTTTGTATAAAATTTTTTCGCTGAACCGCCCAATCGGCATAAAAACAAGTAATACAGATGCGATTTTGCAATGAAAAACGAAATCCTACACGGTCTCTTCACTGGTGCTAACACACTGCAGGTGAAAGCATCAAAAGCTTGATCTCGGAAATTCTCAGGAGAAAGAGAGAGCCACTGGACAGTCTTTTCAGCAACTGGTTGCCGCTAGCAGTGTGCTAGCACTATCCATGATAATTCCTAGTGCCTTCTCTATATAAAGGGACTGGAATCTGCACAACAGGAGGGAAAATTGCTTCTAATTCCTTCGGTGCACTTTTTTAAATGATTTTTTTGAAATTCTGAACATACATGAACGAATGGAGCAGCAATAGAGTTGTAATAAGGAAGTGGATATATTGTGAGGGACGCCCTGCAGCATCTTGTTGCGAAGCGCCGGGAGCAATCTCGTTAATCGAACTTTCAAACAAAATTTTTTATCTGGAAAATATCTTCTTATGGGCGCGCTCAGTGCGATAAAGTGTTTTTTTTTTTTCTTTTTAAGTGATGCAGGCACTCGAGAATATACGGAATGATGTTTTGCGAATTTCATAATACTTTCACGTATAGCAGAATGGAAGTTTCAGCTTATCATTTTTCGTCTTAAAGCAAATCAAGTAGCTGGGAAACGTAAAATGCTTTTGATCACAATGTGAAAGAAAAAAAAAAACACCAATGCTCAGCTGTAGGAATTCCTGCTACAAGTAACACTTGAAGATAATGAAGAAGCAAATAGTGAAAAGAAAGGAAAAACCTGGGCCCAACAACCTGGGCCCAAAACCTGGGCCGTAATACTGATATTTGAATGACGAGCCCAGTACTCAACTGATATCGTCTAATAGATGTACTGCAGTATTTTACCATTCCATATTAAAGTACTTCACTCGCATTTTTCAAAAACAGAAAACTACCTTGCTGAGCAAGCATAATTAACAGGGAAGTCAGTATATCCACGACACTGCCCTCTACTGCTGCTAAACGAAAATACGACAGGAAACATCGAATGAGCGAATTTGTTCCGTCCATACGTATGATAAGTTTTTGGCGTACCACTTCTGATGCTAAAAAAGACCGATTCAGTATTGGGCGTACAAAGCACCAAAATGCTACAAAATATTCAAACCAATGAAATAACAATCTTAGAAATATCGTTTTCGCCTACTGAGTGATATTTGCGAAAAGAAAAACGACCACTCGGATGGGTTTGAAATCGTGCAGAGAATAGGGCCGGCAAGCAAAATCAGGATTCAATACAAATTTTAGACCGATATGGCAGTGCAATGGAAAGTCACGCTGGTCACTGTATCACACCACAGCGACTTCAAAAAAAAAAAAAAAAAATGATGCGAAACAGTTGCATTTTTAAAGACTTAAAAAAAAAAAACCACTAATACAACCTAGACTGGAACGCACCAAGCTTACAGGTGAGATTACGCGTTTTTGTACTAAACTCGCAGACTGCTAATAGCAGGAATGACGAATGCGTTATAGCCGCGCTCTGGCCTCTTCCGGCATGCAGTAAAAAGGTCGTCGGTTGGAATGAAAGTGTTACATTATAGGGCCGCATGAGCCTC